AATTTGGGGCAAGACCAGCTAATCTCCCATCACCAAGAGGTTAAGAATTCTATCCATCCTTTCATTCATCTGTCTCTCCATCCATCCTTTTCTTCACCAAGCATTTATCCAGTGCTTTCTCCATGTCAAACCCTGTGCCTCAATGGGACGATCCACTTCAGGACGGGATGCCATCTTAACCCCAAAGGAGCTCAGATCTAGAGGAAGAGGCAGCCCCACACTCTCCGCTTTTGCTTTTATGTTCCCAAGACTTAGGCAGTAAGATCAGCCCACTCTTGCCCAGATGTTTGGTTCTTGTGTGTTTCTAAGGTGCCGGCAGATAATAAAAACCCAGTCTCCTTTTATTTGACTCAGATGAATTTACACTCCTTTGAAAGGTTGAATCCTTTTTTAACATCAGTAAAGCAATTCAAGCTCCTCAGTAATGGGGATTATATAAATATTCAACCATCACATTTCTCTGTTTATAGAGCATCAAAGTGCACAGCACATTGTAAAACTTCTAATTAATTCTCATAGCGCCCTAGTGTCATGTGCAAAAGACGGATAATAACCCTATTTTACCGATGGGACCAATGGCCACTGTAACTCAGCAACTAGCCTGTGGTCATGTGGCAGATCACCTGCATTTTATACCTTCATTAACAGCACAGCTTATTAATTATAAAATTACATTAACAACTAGCATTTATTGAGAGCCCCCATAAACCTGGCTCCGTCCTGAGAACTTCACACACACGTGAGTCGGTTGACTCTCCATCGCAACCCTGTGAAGTAGGCTCTGTGATTGTCCTCACCTTGCACGTGAGGAAACTGAGTCTCCAAAGTGTTGTATCTGCCAAAGACTCTGGCCAGTGAATACAGGTCTGTATGATTCCAAGTCTCATACCCTGCCCTTTGACTTACGGTATCTTCTGGGTGGCATGTTGAGAAGTAATAATCTGTGTATCCTTGCCCTGAGTCTCCCACTGCTTTGCTGTGTGACTTTGGGAACATTCTCCAGCTTCTCTGAGTCTTGGATGCTCATCTGTTGATGGATTGGGGAAAGTATAGGCTTTGGAGCCAAAGTGCAGTTGGTTATCTGATTTGTAGAATGGAGAGGATAGTAGTCCTAACCCACAAAATGTACTATGAGGGTGAATTTAGCTAATGTGAATCCCCCCTTGGAAGAGACCTTAAAGATTATATTGCTAATTTTTCTTCTGTTTACTGATAAAAGTAGTCATGAACACTATGAAGTGGTGGAAATCATTAATTAGATAATCTGTCTTGAGGCTCCCTTTATAGTCATAAGATTATTTTAATGCATACTGGTGCTTTGTAGTAAGATTTAGGGTAGAACCACACAGTTTGCGCATAGTAAGCACTTAGTAAGACACTTAGTAAGTGAATGGAAACTGTTTTTAGTATATCTCCATGATGGAGGGGTTGTGCTGGGTAATCTCTCAACACTGATGATCTCTGATGAGTCTAAAATGAACTATGACCCATAGATTTTGGTTTAGCCAGAGGAAAATAGTATTACTCTCCTAGGGTATAGCTTGGGTCATCTAGACAAAATATTTGCAGTGTGTTGACAAAATCATGGACAAGTCAAGATCCTCTTAGTTGCAAGTGATAGAAAAATCCAATTCAATGTGGCCTGCACGAAAGAGAAAATCTGTTGTCTAAGGTTAACAAAAAGTCCATAAGTGAATCTAGTTTCAGGAATGGTTGGGTCCAAGCAATCAAACATTATCTCCAGAAACATACTTCTCTTTCTCTTGTGCTGCCCGTTCTCAAATAGGCTTTTCCAAGGCATCACCAAGGTTCTAGCCTGGAATTTCCCGTGAGAGCAACCCCAGCGGAATCTCTTTCCCTGTAGCTGCAGCAAAGTTACTGGGACTAAACACTATTGTCCTTCCTTGGGAGTTAGACTCATAAAATAACCAAGCTCTCCCTGGGGCCAGGGGGGTGGGACATTCTGATTGACTGGGCCTGCTTCATATGCCCACCTCTAAAGCCACATGGATTGAAGTTCAGAAAGGAAAGCTCCCCCAGGAAGCTGACTGGCGGGTCTTTGTCTAGGAGAAGACTACTGCAGTCTAGCTGCCAGTCAGCAGTTTTCCTGGGCTTGGAGTCCAAGAGCATATCTTTGGGCTTTAATCTCCTAGCTGCAAATTGGTGTCCAATTCCCAATCACAGTGACCTAGGGAAAACTCCCAACAGCCACACTCAAACCCCTCAGCATCATCTTCTTCCTGTGCCCTCAGCATAAAATACCAACTTCCTTTCCTCACCTCCCTCCTCATTCCTCACTACTCCCCCACACAACCCTATTGGTATGCTCCAGTTGGACTGAACCACCTTCACTACCAAGTTCTCAGTGGCCTCCAGATCTTTGCACATGCAGTTCCCTCGGTGTGGCACATCTTCCTCCTTCCTTTCTGTTATTTATTTTTAAATTGACGAATGAAAAACTATTTATATTTATGACATACAACATGATGTTTTGATATATGTATACATTGTGAATGATTAAATGAAGGTAATTAACATATCTATCACCTCGCATATTAATCATTCCTGGTCCTTCAGGACTCTGCTCAGAATTTGAAGTCACTTCCTTTATCTCTGATTGTCCCTCCATCTTTGCCAGGTCAGATGTGCCCACACAGCCACCCAGTCCCCTCATTCTCACCACAGCCTACATCATACAGTATTGTGATTGTCTGTGTGCCCACTCCCGCCATGAGACTCTGGAGCTTTGAGGAGAGTGCATATTTCCTAGCTCTGGACTTGGACCCCAAGAGGAGTTCAGGAAGACCTTTTTGAATGGAAGAATATTCACTATGTCCTGGGCAGTAAGGATATTCACTGACAAGTTCACAGGTCAGGAGAGCCAGGAGTAAGGCACCGAGTGAGAGAAGGACTAAGAAGACCCCAGTCCATTGTCAAAATACCTCCAACAGGGATGAGGTTAGGCAAATGGGCAGTCTTGAATCTCAGCCCTAGATAAGGTCTTAACCCAGCCCCAAACCCATGATGGATCTAGAAGGTCATGCCGAGCAAAGCCCCTTTGATACAAAGATCCTCACCACTTCCTCTCCAAAGGCATTCAATATGATTTTAAAGAAATCTCAGTTTCCACAAAAAGTTTGTGTTCTGCCAACAAAAATGCTCTCTCGCCTACCTTTATGGTGGTTGCTTCACCTTCCGCTAATTTGCATGATGAGGCTGCTTCCGTCCCTGATTAGTCCCAGGATTGCATGCAAATGAGCATTTGACACCGTCAAGGGCATCCGAGCTTGCACTTCTTTGAAGGAGGGCTCTCCTCGGTTCAGGTTTTCATGTTTGAAAATAATAAGCAAGTTTAGTTCATTTCTCTTCCCCAAGCCGCAAGCTGTCTCCTGTCTCCACTCACCCCCCAGGAACCATGTTTGCTAACTAGAAGGAGAAAGGCGTTCTGCTTTTCAAACAAGTCCAAACCCCAATTAGTTTCTCAGCAACTTGATCCTCATTGGTGGCGACTGTGGTTTCTCATCTGGCATTGTTATTGATTTGGTCAGAAGTAATTAAGGAGATAATTCTTACTCAATTACATTTCCCTGAATTTCCTGAGGTTGCTAACTCTGCTCCCTGGCTGTATTTTCTTTTCCAAATTAATTTTGTCTTGACTCTGAAATGAGCATGGATATTATAAAGCTTGTTGTGCTTGTTGATTTTTTGCAGGAAAAAAGTAGGGCTCTGTATTTTAATTCCAACTAGGGCTCTCCAACTCTTTTAATTTTTAGAAAATTAATGCAAAACATACACAGGTTTTTTTTTTGTAAAGACCAAATATCACCAAAAGCCTTCTACTGCAGAGCAGGAGTCCCCCTCTTCCCTGCCTTCCTGTCATTCTTGTTGCCATCCCCCAAGGCAGCCACTTCCAAAACTTCTTTGCTATTTCTTTCAATGATCCATGTCTCTACATTATTCGTTTTACCTGTATTTCTCAGTTTGCACAGTTAAGACTTGAATGATTTTCTGCTATGAAAGATGGGGATCTAACTCCCTTCTATCCCTACACCACTCCCCACCTCAACTCCTATTCCTCCCAAATAGCCTTACCTTCAGTTCCTCTACTGGTTAATTCTATCATCTATTTATTTTCTTATTTCTAATTTTCTTGAGTCAGAGTCTCACTCTGTCACCCTGGCTGGAGTGCAGTAGCACAAGCACTGCTCACCACAGCATTGACCTTGTGGGCTCAGGCAATCCTTCCACCTGAGCATTTTAATTTAATTTTATTTTATTTTATTTTATTTTATTTTATTTTATTTTAGAGTTGAGGTCTCACTTCACTATGTTGCCCAGGCTGGTAATTCTGTCATTCTAAAAACTATGTCACACTTAGATGTCTTGGCCCATTTGCCATAGAAAGTATCTTTGACTCCTTGCTTTGTAGAAGAGATAAGTTCTCTGTCAGCTCGCCTTGTGTCTTTTACTACTACGTTTACATCATCAAGATTGATGGCATTCACATTCTGTATTTGTAATTCAGTTTTCCAATCTTTGACTCTGGGTTGAGTCTAAAAGCTGAACAACCAACAAATGTTAGTATTACTTTTACCCATTCATTCACTTACTCAACAAATAACTGCCAAGAAACCACTCTTTGTTTGGCATGGTGCCCAAGACCAAAGACATGATGTGACAAGGTCACACTCCCTACACACATTACAAGGCTAGAATTCAGAGGAGGAGAGAGAGAAAACACAATTTGCAATGTAAGAATAGCTGCTGAATTTAGTGACTTTCAACAAAATGTTTACAATATGACTACAAAGCATAATATAAAGGTAAGCTGAATATAACCACAAAAAAAGACTTTAAATTGGAGCTGCTTGGTGGTTTTTTGTTTTTTTTACTTCAAGAATATAAGCCAAGTCTTGGTGCTCAAACCTTGGTCTACTTGTCAACCCCAGTGATCCTCAGGCAGAAGCCAGAGTACTAGAGGATGTGACATGCTAGGGACCATGTACTTCTTCCAGGCACTGAGAGATGGTGAGAGACCTCACTCAGCATTGCAGTTTGGCTTCATGTTTGTGAAGCTCTTACATCAACAGCAAGTCTTTGCCGCACTCAATGTCCAGAACACACTGACTGTAAATATCCCTTTGAGCACAACCAGGAACAAACATCATCTTGTTGTGAGAGGGTCCAGACTGGTCATCCCAACACCAGTGGGGACTAGCACAGAACACCATGGGGACCTCTGGGACCACAGAGGGAGATTTCTAACTGCTCTTGGCATGAATATCCCATCCAGGTGGGGCATTGACCACACTAGAAGTGGAATATGACAACACTAGAAGCCAGACGGCCAAGTGCATCGGGAAAATTAAAATTATAAGATGATGTAGCATCTATCCAAATACACATACATGCATATATACCAATTCAGAAAGTCACAGATTGTTCTTCTACTTGCTTACCTTGCAAACAGCTCAGTACTTTGTTACTTAATGATCACCATTAGGTCTCTTTGCCAGACTCTGGCCCTACATGCCTTGGTGAATCTGTAAAATGGGCATTAAGAATATGTCTTCCTTGTGGCTCTTGCCCAAAGTAACAGCAAATGACAGAGCTGGAATCTGAACCCAAGTCTCTCTAATCCTAATCTTTCCAATACTACCACCTACTGTCTCCTGTAGTGGCTCGGTTAGAGAGTGATCTTGTTTGCATTCAAGCCAAATCCAGGCCAATTCACACCCTGAAAATGGACCAACACATTTTCCTTGCCAATAGGTGAGACTGATATGGTCAAAGAAGTTCTGTTGATTTTGTGCCTAGACCCTAAACAAAAATGAAATGAGTTTATGTAATCCAAATCACCAATTGTTTCCTGCAGAGAGATTATTCCTCTATGGTTATATTTTAGTTATATATTCCTGTGAAACTAATTACCCCAAAACTGATTAGCTTAAAACAACAAACACTGATTATTTTATAGTTTCTGTGGGTTGAGAATTCAGGCATGGTTTAGCTGAGGGGCCGTGGCTCAGGTCTCTCTTGAGGCTACAGTTATCTCAAGACTTACAGGGAATGGGGAGGGACTGGTTTCACTTTCAAGGCAGAAACCATAATTAATCTGCAACCAATCTCAAAAATGACATTGTATCATTTCTGCCATATTCTATTCACTAGAAGTGAGTTACTGGGTCTAGCCCACCCTCCAGGAGAGGGGATTACTCAAGGACATTAATACCAGGAGATGGGTATCACTGGGGACATCCTAGAGGCTGCCCATCACATGCTGGTGTGGGAAAAGCAAGACCTAGATCCTAGTCATCAACAGGCTAGGTCCCAGATGCTCTAGATCTTCAGCAGAGACAAAAACCCAGCACTTGTCTTCCACAAGAACTCAGTCTCAGCACTCTTGACAATGTGGGCCGGATACAGTTTTGTGAGGAAAGAAGGATTGTCCTGTACACAGTAAGATGTTTAGTGGCATCACTGACATCATTAAATGTAACCCTCTCCCCCCACCGTGTTGTGACAACCAAAAAGAACCTCAGTGACACCTTGGGAAGTTGCCTAGGTATCTCCTGAAGGCCCACCTTGCAGTGTGGAAGAGAAGGCACTGCACCAGCCTGTCCGCAGTAGCCCTTAGTGAATGACAACATTATCCCCAAAATGTGATCCAGCCCTCATGCCAACAGATAATTCGGAAATGCGAAAAGATAGATGATTTGGGGTTTTGTAAATACAGAAGGCTGAGATTTCATCTAATATATCCATTTTCTTTATAATAAAAAAAATTTCTAAAGGTCTCTATGCCTGTAGGTTTTATGCACATGGGAGCCAGGTAATGGGCTGCCATTCTCCAGTCCTGACTTCTGTGATTCTCAGCTGTTCAATCATCTCAAACATGATTGAAAGAAAAATAGCAAGAATTACAGGAAAGACCTCAGGCACATTTGCACCATTGGCACATTGATGGGAGGAGGTTTGTAATCACTGCTCTTGTTTATTTGGGGGTGGTATTTTTGTTTGTCCTTGAAAGAGTCTATGGTTAAAAATTTGTCCATGAAGCATGCTTCATTATTCTAATCCAGGGCTTAGCAAAGTTTTTCATAGTCAGACAGTAATCATTTTAGCCTTTGCAGGCCACACAGCCTCTGTTCCGACTAGTCAACTCTGCCCTTGTGATACAAGAGCATCCATAGACAGTATTAAAAGAGTGGGTGATGCTTGTGTGCCAATAAAACTTTATTTTCAGAAACAGACTTTTCTGTGTCTTCTGGAGACTCTTTGTTCCCCTTGTTTCAATCTTTATCTTCTCTTCCTTTTCTCTCTCCTTCTGTCTCTCTCTGTCTCTCTCTGTCTCTCTGTCTCTGTCTGTCTCCCTTTGTCTTTCCTTCTCTTCCCCCTCCCCATCTCCCTCTCTGACTGTTAATTCAATACCTCTTATCTTATCTTCCACTTCCGTCCTCTCCCCTGAGCTCCAATCTATTCATTGACGATGGTGTCTCTGTCACCACTTTCGCTCCCAGATCCCCAAAGACTCTGGAGATTGGTGTCATCTTGCTTGATATGTTCTCTCAGTCCTCTGACACTCTCCTAGACATAGGGCAAGGGGAAGTCAGAATACAAAAGACTGCCATTTGCACACTTGTGTGAAAAGGGGATGCTTGTGATTGGAAAGAATGTGTATGTATATATGAATGTGTGTGTGTGTTTGCTTATATAAAATTTATCTGAAGGGACACACCAAAGTTTGATAACACTAGTCATCTCCAGGGAGGTAAATGAATACTTTTGAGGACAAAGTGGAAGTAACACATTTTAATTACATACTTTTTAAACCTTTATTTTAAACCTTTTGATACAGCTTACTCAAAAGAAAACTAAATTAACAAAAAGTGAAGTGAAATAAAACTCAAGGCTGAGCTAATTTTGCTAAAATGGCTTCTCGTGGCTTCTCAGCAGAAGTACCAGCTTCAGGGACATCAGGAGAACCTTCATCACCCCACCTACTCACAGACACACATCGTACCCTGCATTCTGACCATTCAAGCTCCTTGTGGTTCCTTCAGTCTGAAACATCTGTAGGGAAGAGATGTAATACCTTCACCTCGCCCATTGGAAGGATCATGGCTGGACTCTCCTATAACAAAAGACAGATTAACAGAGGGAAAGCAAAACAAATTTATTTTTTAACCAAAGTTTTACATGGCGTAGGAGCCTTCAGAAATAAAGAACCAGGGGAAACTGTATTTTTATGCTAAGTCTAATAAGAGAAGTGAATAGTTGTAGAGGGGTGGGATTTAATGGTAATAAACTGGGGGATGAATTCTGTCCAGATTCTTTTCTGTGTCTCTGTGAGACCTTCCTTCCCCCCAGGTATGTAGCAGGACAGCTGTCACATAAGGACCTTACTGGGAGAAGGGAGGAGGTTACAGAGTAGCCCTTTTATGGCTTCCTTTGGGGGAAAGGCGTTCACGTTTCTATGACCTGCTTGACAGAGAAAAGGGAGAGGGAGAAAGGAGAGTGGAAGAAGGTCCTTGCTACCAAGGCCTTCCCACCTCCTTCATTTCAAAGTATTCTGCATACCAAGGCGCCATACTTCAGAGTATCATGTTCCGAGCCCAACACATCTTTCCCTCCACTTTCTGTGTTCAGTCCGGTCTGAATCCCTGCCAGTAACCCTTCCGGGTCCCAAGCTGTGCTTGGTGCCTGCCCTTCACCACATGGCAGTTAAGGTGCCTATTTGACACCTGTCTCTCCCACTAGACCGCGAACTCTTTGCAGAAAAGGATGGTGCCTTGTCCAGCATCATACCCCCAGCTGGTTTCTAACTCATGAGGTACTTGAGAAATATGTGAGTTGCTCTCTCCCTCACTGAGCCTTGGAATGTGGTCCATGTAAATTGCTATTCGATGGCCTCCTAGGGACAGCCTCACAGGATGCAGATTCCCAGCAGTGCCGAAGTCACAAGAAGGCTCAGCCCAAGGGGGGAGCCCCAACTAGCTGTTCTGCATGTCTCCCTTTCCTCTTTCACCAGCGGCTTAAGCTCAGTTCTGTTTCTGCTTATGTTTAAAAAAATGAGGTTACAGGTTATTAGCCAATGGGAGACTGGCTTTCTTCAGACCGTTGGGGGCTCACTTGATTGTCGCAGAGGCAGCAACTTCATCTTCTTCCAGGGAGAGAGAAAGCAGATGGAGGCCACACAGGAACTTAACCCCAACACACACTCCTCCCACCAGCACATTGACAGTGTGAATGGAGACTTTCTTGGATCACTCCTAGTTTCATCTCTCCGGGATAAATTGCCAGACAACTTTTTTCATTTCCAAGAAAATTATGGTGTAATAAAGCAACAGGGGGGCCCTGCAGTCAGCTGGACCGGCTGAACTTCTGATCCTAGCTGTCACTTAGCTAGGTGACCTCAGACAAGTTATTTAACTTCTCTGCGTCTTGGATCGCTCAGTCAAAAAGAACAGATAATAAAAACCACACCACTCAACTTTTGGGGCGGTGGTGAGGATTCAATGAGAGAAGGCAGGGAAAGATTTCACACAGGAATGGCAATTGTGTGTCACTCATGCTGCTGTCCGTCCCTGGGTTCATGACAGGCATTGCTAATCAATCACAGACATCTCTTCTGATGAGCCTGGATGGCAGGGCTGTCCAGACAGCATGACTGCTCATAGGTAGATTGAAGCTGGCACTTAGGTTGGAGCCCATTGGCCATCTCGAGCCTAGCACATTTCCAAACATGCCATGGACAAAGTTCGCGATACAGATCATGGTTGTCACACCCTGGAGCTCCTGTTTCCTGAAGCCTCTCCAAGACTTTGAAACCCCCAGCCCATCATACAGATTCCCATTGCCTGACAGCTGGACTGCTGGGCCCTCATACTTAGTCTTTCAGAAGAGCTTATAAGATTAGTATATTTGATTAATTTTTTAACTAGGTGGATAACACATTAGCTGCTGTCATGCCAGCTCAGTCCCAGGGCTGATGGGGGCTCGATGATGCTGGCAGCCAATTTCCATTTCAATCAAGTGAAAGAGGAGGGAGACAGGATCAGGAGAAACCCGGATTCGATTGAAAGCTGTGGCATCTAGCACCACCTACTGTTATATCGCTGCATTGCTG